GCACTTTGGAAGGCCGAGGCGGGTGGATCACGAGATCGAGACCATCCTGGTCAACATGGCGAAACCCCCTCTCTACTAAAAATACAAAAAATGAAATGGGCATGTTGGCGCGTGTCTGTAATCCCAGCTACTCAGGAGGCTGAGGCAGGAGAATTGCCTGAACCCAGGAGGCGGAGGTTGCGGTGAGCCGAGATCGCGCCATTGCACTCCAGCCTGGGTAACAAGAGCGAAACTCCGTCTCCAAAAAAAAAAAAAAAGAAGAGTAAGCTTTCCTCATTTAATATATGGATTGAAACTCTGAAAGCATGGGAATTCTGCAACTCAGAGTTAAGTAAAATTACACGTTTGTTTGCTTCAAATCTATTTCCATGCACAACAATATCTGTGCCTAGTTAAGTGGAATAACCAATTATAGATGAGTGCTATTTTCATAGATAACTGTTTCTTTTACCCCATTGCCATAAATAACTTAATACTTAGAGTAGTACCTCTGTACTAGACATTGTTCTGTGCTGTTTACGATATAAATTCACTAATCCTCAAGCCACTGTCACTGCGTTGGCATTGCCATTAATGAGAAAAATGGGGCACAGAACAACTTTCTTGAGATCACAGGGGTGGGATGTAAACAGAGCCAGGAGCCGGAATTTTTTATTTTTTTATTACTTTTTATTTTTATTTTTGGAGATGGAGTCTCGCTGTCTGTTGCCGGCCTGGAGTGCAGCAGCATGATTTTGGCTTACTGCAACCTCTGCCTCCTGGGTTCAAGCGATTTTCGTGCCTCAGTCTCCTGAGTAGTTGAGTTACAGGCGCCCGCCACCACACCCCACCTAATTTTTTTGTATTTTTAGTAGAGACGGGATTTCGCCATGTTATCCAGGCTGGTCTCAAACTCCTGATCTCAGGTGATCCACCCGCCTCGGCTTCCCAAAGTGTTGGGATTACAGGTGTGAGCCACTGTGCCTGGTCAGAGCCAGGATTCTAACTCAGGTTGGTTCCAGACTGTGCTCTTAGTTACTACATTATGCTGCCTCTGGAATCTTTATGATGTTTGTAAAGAGAGGTAGAGTGACCAGAAGAATCTGTTGTATAATTCAGAGGTATGCTGTTTATCTCTTGGAAAAATACTTAAGAGTTATGAGAATTACAGATATTCTCCATTTTTTTTCTACAAAGCGATAATGTTTGAAATTTTACTGACTTCCTGTGTGAACAAAGGAGATTGCCTAACAGCTATTAAAAATAAAAATCAGGACACAGGTGATATATGAAGAATGAGGAAGTAACTAGTTTTCAACAGAAACATCCTATGGAGAAAGTACTTTTAAATGCATGTTTGGGCCAGGCATGGTCTCTTACGCCTGTAATCCCAGCAGTTTATGAGGCAAAGGCAGGCGGATCACCTGAGGTCAGGAGTTCGAGACCAGTCTGGCCAACATGGCGAAACCCTGTCTCTACTAAAAATACAAAAATTAGCCAGACACAGTAGTATGCACCTGTAGTCCCAACTATTCGGGAGGCTGAGGCTGGAGAATCACTTGAACCCAGGAGGAGGAGGTTGCAGTAAGCCAAGATCCCACCACTGCATTCCAGCCTGGGTGACAGAGTGAGACTCTGTCACTCTGTCTTGGGGGGGGAGGGGGAGGGAGATATGCATCTTTGCCTTGATTCTCTTATTATGTAATATTGTTGCTGAACACAATGAAAAGTTGTCACCTATAAGAACTTCAATCTATATGTTTAAACTTAGCAACAGATTTTTTTTTTTTTTTTTTTTTTTTTTTTTGGTAGAGTCTTGCTGTCGCCCAGGCGGGAGTGCAGTGGCGCAACTTGAGCGGTTTTTTTGTTTTCGAGACAGTGTCTTACTCTGTTGCCCAGGCTAGAGTGCAGTGGTGCAAACATGGCTCACTGCAGCCTCGACTTCCAAGGCTCAAGCCATCCTGCCTCAGCTTCCAGAGGAGCTGGGACCCCAGATGCATGTCACCGGCCCAGCTAATTTCTGTATATTTTTTGTAGAGACAGTTTTGCCATGTCGCCCAGGCTGGTCTCGAACTCCTGAGCACAAGTGATCTGCCCACCTCAGCTTTCCAAAGTGCTAGAACTACAGGCATGAGCCACTGCCCTGGCCTATGTTATCTCTTACACCTTGCTGGGGAAGTGTAAGTTAATACAATCATTTTGGCATTATCTCTTATACCACCCCAAGGTATACATTCACTCAAGAGAAACTCTGACAGTTTTTAGAAAGATCATAGCAGCACTGTTCACAATGGCAAAGACCTGGCAAAGGCCCAAGTGCCCATGGACAGGAGAGTAGGTGAAGAAACCGTCAGGCAGCTTCTCCCCATCTCAGGATATCACATTCCTGGCACATACTATAGTTATTCTTGAGAGCTACAAGCAACAAAGGGAGATAAACCAGGTCAGTCCAAGCCTACCTGAAGAGCTGTCCTGCATATATAGTGGTGGCATTGGTAGAAGTGGCCTTTGGGAAGTGATTAGGTCATGGAGGTGAAGGCATCATGAATGAGATTAGTGCCCTTATGAAAGAGGCCTAGAAGAAACACCTCATCCCTTCCACCTGGTGAGAAGAGAGTGAGAAGGCTATGAGGAAGTGGGCCCTCATTGGACACTGAATCTGCTGAAACCTTGATCTTGAACTTTCCCAACTCCAGAACTATGAGAAATAAATTTGTTGTTTATTAAAAAAAAAAAAAAACTCACACACTGGAATATTTACAGAGCAGTCAAAATCAATCAACAATGACAGCAATTTGGATGATCTCAGCAAAATAATATTAAGTGAAAAAAAGTAATTCGTGGAAGATTACATACCCTTTTATATTCATTAAATATTAAAATTGTATTTTTCAAGGAATGCATGTAGGTGCGATAAAACTTGCTAAAGACAAAAAACGAATGATCTGGAGGAGTCAAGTTTCAGAGAAGGGGACATCAGGAGGCCATATAAAGAGAGATGTGGGTTGGGGTTAAGGTCCTACTTTTGGGCAGTACCTTCCATTCCCTGGTACTGATTCACAGTGAACAGAGGTGCAAGCGAGCAGCCTAAAAACTGTAAGCAAGTGTAGGCTAACAGTAGGCCAGTAATGATTCATGTGCCAATAATTGATTGTGTACACCTGAGGTGAAACGAGAGCAACAAATACAAACACACATACACGCCTCAAGCAGTTTAATGTCTCCCATCTCCCCAACGCACCCCTCTTTCACCCCAGAGGCAACCACTGTTTATCCAGTCTCCTTCTCAAAAGGAGACATGATAAACATGAGTATGTGTGTCTGTGCATACATAAATATGCACTTTTTTTTGAGACAGAGTCTTGCTCTGTCACCCAGGCTGGAGTGCAGTGGTGCAATCTTAGCTCCACCTCCCAATTGAAGCGATTCTCCTGCCTCAGTTTCCCCAGTAGCTGGGATTACAGGTCCCCACCACCACCTGCCTCAGTTTCCCCAGTAGCTGGGATTACAGGTCCCCACCACCACCCTCAGCTAATTTTTTGTATTTTTAGTAGAGACAAGGTTTAATCATGTTGGCTAGGCTGGTCTAGAACTCGTGATCTCATGTGATCCACCCACCTCGGCCTCCCAAAGTGCTGGGATTACAAGTGTGAGCCACCGCCCCTGGCCACGCGTGTATATTTTGAAATGTCTTTACAGATACGTGTAACTACACATACATCCCAAAAAAGACGAAGTTTTTTGTGTTTTTTTAAGAAGTTTAAGTATTGGAAATTTAACCTGAAGTGACTTCAGCCGGCATTACACAAACATTCCTAAGTCGATTCACAACCTGAAAATCAAGGGGGAGTTTGAGGAAAACAGGTCAGATTTTGAGAAATGGAAACAAGCCAAAATGCTGTTCTCGCAAGCCCTGCCCTGGGGTTCGCCAAAGGTAACCTCACAGACGGCGCATTTCAGACGCTGCTGACCCCCCAGGACCACCCGGTAAAACTCAAAAGCGGCGCGTTAAAAATACAGATTCTCAGGCCCCGCCCCCAAAACTCGAGCTGAGCCTGGCTGGGTCTTTTTGAAACAAGGGCCCCCACGTGATTCTCAGGTTCGGGCAAGCTTGGGGCACAGCCCTGTCTTAAGTAACTCCCCAATCTGAAGAAAGTAAACACCTGGGGGCTGTAGGTGGCTTTCTTGATCCCCGTTGGATGTCACTTACGTGGTGCCAGGAAGGGTCTCCCTCGGGTCTCATCAGGGTCCCAGCCATTCTGAGCACGAACGCTAATTAGCTCAACCCCCCGAGGACAGCGCCTCTGTCACCTGCCGGGCGGGTCCTGCGCCGGGTTGGCCCCAGAAGCTCTCCTGTGTGGTCCGAGAGTGTGTGGTCCGAGTCACCAGGCGGGAGCGGACGCTCGTGGATAAAAATACACATTCCTGGCCTCGGCCACCGGAATCCAGAACTTTCGAAATCTGTATTTTTAACCGGCTCCTCCAGGAACATGTTCTCCCTGCAGTTGGAGACACTCTGGTCTCATTTAAAATTTAAATTTGGGTGTGCAGCCAGGGCTGAGAACCAGGAGTGGAGGTCGTGCTTCTCAGCTCGGAAGCACTCAGAATAACCTGTGTGCGTGATGGGGCTGATGAGCGGCGGGGAGACGGCCTTTAAAATATATCCCAGTGCCCAGGTTCCAGCCCAAACCAATTAAGTCCGAATCTAAAAGCACAGCCTGTGTAGCGCGGCAGCCACAGCGCCACCTGGGAGCTCGTTAGAAATACAGGAGCTCAGGCCCCACCCCAGACCCACTGAGTCAGAATCTGCATTTTAACGAGATCCCCAGTGACTCGTACGCGCATTAAAGTTGGAGGAGAGCTGCGCTTCTGAAATTTTAATGGGCAAACGAATCACCTGGGGATCTCGTTAAAATGCAGACACGGTTTCTCAAACTTTAATGTGCATGAGAATCACCTGGGGATCTTGTTAAAATGCAGATTCTGATTCAGCGGGTCTGGGGTGGAGCCCGAGAGTCTGCATTTCTAACGAGCTCCCAGGTGGCGCGGGCTGCCCGGGCGCGGACCGCAAGTCCTCGGGACCCCTGGGGTCTTGGCTCTAGGCCAATCAGCTGTCAGGACTCTTGATAAATCGCCCTGCTCGGCTGATGAGCAGAATTGCTGGGACATGCGCGTTCCCGCTGAAGGGGGTTAATTTCCGAACTCCGGGAATTCGTTGTGTGAAGTAGGCCACTCCTAGGGACGCGCCGGGAGCCCCGTCCTCGCGCCATGTCGCGGCGCAAGCAGACTAAGCCCCAGCACCTCAACTCCGAGGAGCCGCGGCCTGTGCGCGGGGAGTGCGAGGAGGTGGCCCCGCAGGTGGCTGGGGAGCCCGGTAAGTAGCGCTACGGGAGCCCCGCCCTGGGGCTGAGGGCTGGTGTTCTAAGGTTCTCCGGACCCGCGCGCATACGGGGACCGGGGGAGGGGGGCTGGAAGGGCTGGCGAAGAGTGCGGCGCGGAGTCCTGGGACTCGGACCTGGGCGTCCCCGCCCCCGCCTTTGTAAATTACAGCCTCCGCGAGTCAACGGTACCCCTCCCCGCCTGGATCCCTCCAGCCACTCTTCTCAACAGCTAGCTGGTCTACGAGTTTGCCTCCCAAACACGCTGGAAGGATGCTCTGAGGACCCCTTACACTATTTTCGGGGTGCGCGGGCACCCGAGTTCCCGGCCTCCTTGGCACCAGTCTTCGGCTGCTCGCCTGGAAGGTGGCTCCTTGCCGTGGGGTTACGTTTCAAATGCGTTGTCTAGGGAAGGCCTCACGGAGGAGCGGACCTCCGAGTGAAGACCCGAAGGATGGGAGTGGGGATTCGTGCAGGTAGCTGGGGGGAAGAGCATTCCAGGCCGAGGGAACGCCAGCGCTGCTGTAGCCCGAGAGATCTGGGGAGGCCGGAGAGGTGATGGGCGGGGGAAGGAGACTGCCGGGGATGGGGGGCGGCCGTGAGCCCCGGTAAGAGCTCTGCGTTTTATCTGAGCGAAGTGAGAGCCATGGTGGGGGCAGAGCGGTGATACTGTCGCACTTAGCAGGCGGACCCGCACCCCCTCCTTGGCTGCCACGTGGACACGATGTGTAGCAAGGAGATTCTTGGCTACCCTAAGCTCCCTAGGCAGCGTTTCTCGTTCGGGGATCCTCTGCTTCAGAAGAGCCTGCGAGAGGGGAGCTTTGGTGGCTCGCCAGATGACTCCTGCGCCTCGGGACACCCTGCCTCCACTGGAATCTCGGGGTGGGGTTGGGGAATCTGCATTTCTAAAGCGCTTCCCTTTCTGCTTGTCTTGCGCTTGGATTAAGACATTGCAGGTTCCTACTTTCTCTTCTGCCTACCAGCTCCTCGTGGTTAGCCGAGCCCTTTCCTTTAAGGGAGTAGGGAAAAGAGTTGAAACTCGACTTCCTCCTCTCCCCGGCTCTTTCCTGGCGCGGGCGGAAAGGGGGATATTGGGTCCCCTCTCTGGGGAGGCCTCTCAGCTCCAGAGACGCGGGCTCTGTAGCTTCCGCACCAACTTCCAGAACAGTCGGTCTGGTGGGTTTTGACCACACCTTCCGGAAGAGGTGGTGGAGGGGAGTAGATTAATGAAGGCTCCACTAAATTAAGAGTTTAAATGTTAAAGCTTGTTCGGGTGGAGCTACCATAACTAGGATGGCATAATCACCCTCGTGCCCTGGGATAGAGATAGGGAGGTAAGACTTACAGGACCAAGCCCCCTAGGGCCAGGGGCGGGGCTCTTGTTGATTCTCTGCGTCTAGGGGAAGTCGGGGAGGTTCTGGGGATGTTTATAGAAAAGAATTGCTGAATAACCCCGGGCTGGAGTTGAAAGTCAGTGCACTGAGCTACTTTTGATTCCTGCAGCCAACACTGCGAGGCGCCTTCCGGAGCTGCACCCAGCGTTTTGGGCACGGGGAGGGTGTTGTGCGTCGTGGAGTACTGAGGTGCCTTCTTGTGGGAGCAGGATGCAAAGTCTGCCTGCCTAGAAGTGTGCTGGAACTCCAGCCCCCACCTGGTGGGGGGAGGAGGAGGGGGAGGAAGCAGTCTTCCAACTGAGGTTGTATCCTAGCATCTTTGGTCTGCTCTCGACACTGGCAAGGGGGTATGTTTTACTAAGGCTGGGCCACTCTTAATTTGCAGGTGTCTTTGCAACTCGAGTAGCTTTTGGAGGAAAATACAGTGGAAAGTAATTAGACTTCCCATCACCACCAATAAAATGACAGAGGGGTGGGAGGAACCTTACTGAGGGAACTTCATCCGTTCCCCGGTGGTTAAAACACTGGTTGTGGTAACCTGCTTTCAAATTGTGGGTGTTTTTAAATGTGGCCCACCCCTACTTTCCCAGGAGAGTGGGCTTCAGTCCTTCCTCCGTTTCCTGGATGTCTAAATATAAAAGAAACCTTTTTGAGGCCCCTCACACCTCCCTATCAGAGTCTTTATCTGGGTCATCCTTTAACTCACCTCTTTTATTATCTAGTTTCTTTGAAAACGCACTTTTCTCCCCGAGAATCTGGTAGAATCTTATGTGCGTACATCAGTGAATAACACTAATAACATTTATGCAGTGTTGACTAATACGCAAGGTTCTCTTACATATAGTAAAGAACTTCATCTAAGCCATTGAGAACAGGGGCCATAATCCCCATTTGACAGATGTGGAAACTGAGGAACAGGGAAGTTGAATAGCTTACCCAGGGGGCAACCAATAAGTGATAAAACTGGAATTTGAGGCCAGGTGCAGTGGCTCACACCTGTAATATCGGCACTTTTGAGAGGCCGAGGCGGGCAGATCATGAGGTCAGGAGGCCTGGCAAACATGGTAAAACCCCGTCTTTACTAAAAATACAAAAGTTAGCCAGGTATGGTGGTACACACCTGTAATCCTGGCTACTCAGGAGGCTGAGGCAAGACAGTTACTTGAACCCGGGTGGCGGAGGTTGTAGTGAGCCAAGATCATGCCATTGCACTCCAACCTGGGCAACCAGATCAAGATTGTGTAATAAACTGGAATTTGAAACTTGCCAGCTGGCTCCCCAGTCTGTTCCCCAAAACCACTTTGTTATACAGTGCCTCACTTAGACTGTTTTCAGTCTTGCTTGACTTCTGTGGAGTTAAAACCCTCAAGAGTTTAATGGTTTTCTAGTATGTGAGTTGCTAAGTAGTTTTGTTTCTGTCTTCCCCTGAGGGCCATAGGATGGGCTGCAGATCTAGTGAGCATAGGTTCCAATGGGCTGAAAACTTCCAGTCCTACAGCCTTGAGCATCTGAGCCAGTTTCTTGCCCTTGGAGCAAAAGTCTCCAAAGTATGGTTCCCAGACCTGCAAGGGCATCAATTGAGAACTTGTTAAAAGTGAAAAATCACCAGCTCCACCCTAGACCTACTTAATCAGGAACTGCAAAGGGGGTGTTCATGCCACCTGGGTTTTAAGCAGCCTTCTAGGCAATTTTTTTTTTTTTTTTTTTTTTTTTTTTTTTTTTTTTTTTTTTTTTTTGAGACGGAGTTTCGCTCTTGTTACCCAGGCTGGAGTGCAATGGCGCGTTCTCGGCTCACCGCAACCTCCGCCTCCTGGGCTCAGGCAATTCTCCTGCCTCAGCCTCCTAAGTAGCTGGGATTACAGGCATGCACCACCATGCCCAGCTAGTTTTTTTTGTATTTTTAGTAGAGACAGGGTTTCACCATGTTGACCAGGATGGTCTCGATCTTTCGACCTCGTGATCCACCCGCCTCGGCCTCCCAAAGTGCTGGGATTACAGGCTTGAGCCACCGCGCCCGGCTAGGCAATTTTGATACACGCTCATGTCTGAGAACCACTGGCAAAAAATACAAAAACTAGCCAGGTGTGGTGCATACCTGTGGTCCCAGCTACTCCGGAGGCTGAGGTAGGAGGATGGCTTGAGCCTGGGGGGCAGAGGTTGCAGTGAGCCACATTCATGCCATTGCACTCCAGCCTGGGTGACCGAGTGAAACCCTGTCTCAAAAAAAAAAAAAATAGAAGTCCCTGAAATCTACCTCTACTTGATCCACACTACCACCCTTCCCCCTGCCCTAAGTTTTCAGTGAGTCTAGGATAAGGCCTGGGAAACAACACTGAAGCCATGATCTAGGTGACTATGACACAGATAGTGTCAGGATTACACTTGGAAGAAACACTGGGAATAGGACTAGTGCAGACTTTGTCAGCCCTAGCCCTGTTGACCTTTGGGGCTGCATTGCTTCCTTGTGGGGGCTGTCCTACATGTTATAGGATATCTAGCAGCATCCCTGGCCTTGAACGACTGGATGCCACTCTCACACATGCATGCAAACAAAATTATGACAATTGAAAAATGTTGGGCCAGGCACAGTGACACCTGTAATCCTAGTGTGTTGACCAACCTGGCCAACATGGTAACACCCCTTCTCTACTAAAACACAAAAATTAGCTGGGCACGGTAGCATGTACCTACTCGGGAGGCTGAGGCAGGAGAATCGCGTGAACCCAGGAGGCAGAGGTTGCAGTGAACTGAGATCACACCACTGCACTCCAGCCTATGCGACAGAGCAAGACTCTATCTCCAAAAAGTAAACATTAAAAAAAAAAAAAGTTCCCAGGCATCGCTGAGTGTCCTCTGGTGGTAGAATGGCCCCCATGGGACTAGATCATTTGTTAAGGGTCTTTGAGCACAACTTCTATGACGTGACATCTGTAGTCCCCCTAACGTGTGACATCTGAAGACACACAATGATGAGCATTTACTCAACTCAGACTGGGCACTGAACTGAGAACTTACGTTTTTTTTACGTTTAACTTTGCAACACATATATTATCTCCTTTTGCAAACTAGTAAACTGAAGCTCGGAAGGGTTAAGTAGCTCACCAGTAGTCCCCACAGCACATAGCTGAGCAAACCCTCTGCCTAAAGCTGAAGCCCTCACCACTGTGCTCTAGAACTTCTCATGCTAAGATTCCTTTACCCCCAGAAACCTCTCAATAAAAGTGAAGTCTGGCCAGGCACAGTGGCTCATGCCTGTAATCCCAACACTGGGAGGCCGAGGCAGGTGGACCACAAAGTCAGGAGTTCGAGACCAGCCTGGTCAACATGGTTAAACCCCGTCTCTACTAAAAGAAAATACCAAAAAACGAGTAGGGCATGGTGGCACACACCTGTAATTCCAGTTACTGGGGAGGCTGAGGTGGAAGAATTGCTTGAACCCAGGAGGCAGAGGTTGCGGTGAGCTGAGATGGTACCACTGCACTCCAACCTGGGCAACAGGGCAAGACTTCATCTCAAAAACTTCCAAATAAAAATTGCATGGATCTACTGTTTTAAAAAAAAAAAAAAAAAAAAGGCAAGGTGCAGTGGCTCACGCCTATAATCCTAGCACTTTGGGAGACAGAGGCGGGTGGATCACAAGGTCAAGAGATTGAGACCGTCCTGGCCCACATGTTGAAACCCTGTCTCTAAAAAACAAAATTTTTAAAAAGTGAAATTCACCTTATAATCTTGGGACAGAAAGTTCCATACCTTGACCTGTAATTCATAAGCCAGTCAATTTTTTAAGGCTTCAGATGGCTGGGCACGGTGACTCACACCTATAATCCCAACACTTGTAGAGACCAGGGCGGGCGGATCACTTGAGGTCAGGAGTTCGAGGCCCATTTGGCCAACATGATGAAACCCTGTCTCTAAAAATGCAAAAAATTAGGAGTGATATGGCACACCTGTAATCCCAGCTACTCGGGAGGCTGAGGCAGGAGAATCACTTGAACTCAGGATGCGGAGGTTGCGGTGAGCCGAGATCATACCACAGCACTCCAGTCTGAGCAACAGAGTGAAACACTACTTCAAGAAAACATTTTCATACACTAATAGGACCTTTTTTCCTTTTGGATTTAAGTCTATTTTGAGATAAGTTATTTCAGAATCTTCTAGGAGTACTTAATCTTTGCTATAGAAATCTTAAAACCTACATATTAGGTTGAAACCTGAAATTTTTTGACCGTTTTGGCTAACAAAAATGGCAATTTCACATGGTCCAACCCTCCTAAAAATAGAATAATGCAGTGAACTCTCACATAGCCCTTGATCCACTGTGACCAGTAGCATGTGGCCACCTTCATTTCTCCTTATGCCAGCTCTCCCCGTGGATTATTTTGCAGAAAAACTTGCATTCATCCAACTTGTAAATGTTTCAGCATTCATCCTTAGACTATGGGAATGCTTTTTAAACTCAAATTCCATTTTCACACACAAGTGTAAAACCCCTTCAGTGAGTGAGCACACTTCTATCTCAAATAGCTTTTCCTGTATATTCTAATCGGGAGGCAAGTTGAGTCCCGATATTGTCAATCATCTCAAGTCTCTCAATCTTTGGTTTTTTTCTTCCATCTGTCTTTCCTTCTTTCTTTCTTTTTTTTTTTTTTTTTTTTTTTTTTTGCCTTTTAGGTTTTGGGATACATGTGAAGAACATGCAAGATTGTTGCAGAGGTCCACACCTGGCAGTGTGATTTGCTGCCTTCCTCCCCGTCACCTGTATCTGGCATTTCTCCCCATGCTATCTCTCCCCAACTCCCCACCCCCTGCTGTCCCTCCCCTATTTTCACCCTACAGACCCCAGTGTGTGATGCTCCCCTCCCTGTGTCCATGCGTTCTCATTGTTTAACACCGCCTATGAGTGAGAACATGCACTGTTTGATTTTCCGTTCTTGTGTCAGTTTGCTGAAAATGATGGTTTCCAGGTTCATCCATGTCCCTACAAACCATCTTTCTTCTTTCACGTTATTTGTTGAAACAACTGTGTTTTATCCTGGAGATCAGTGATGTGTGGCCTGTGACCTTTTGCTGAACTGAGGCAAAACAAATAAGAAATCCAGAGTAAACATCTTTTTTAAAAAAAAAAAAAAAAAGGGTCGGGTGCGGTGGCTCACGCCTGTAATCCTAGCACTTTGGGAGGCTGAGGCGGGTGGATCACGAGGTCAGGAGCACAAGACCAGACTGACCAATACGGTGAAACCCCATCTCTACTAAAAAATACAAAAGTTAGCTGGGCATGGTGGCTCGTGCCTGTAATCACAGCTAGTTGGAAGGCTGAGGTAGGAGAATTGCTTGAACTGGGACCTGGGAGGCAGAGGTTACAGTGAGCCAAGATTGCGCCGCTGCGCTCCAGCCTGGGCTACAGACTGAGACTCCATCTCAAAAAAACAAAAAACAAAAACACCTGACATTGCCATGGCATCCAGCGTTTTGCTCTATCTAATGATATTTGGGCTCTTTTGTGTCTTATTCCACCTCTCTCCTAATTTGTGCTTATATTTGACAGAAATATCAGCCTGTGATAGATTGTTTTAAAAAACTAGTTTTTCATACCATTTAAGAAGTACTCAAATGTTAAGTTTTTTAGTCTGGATTTTGCCAGTTTCCCGGTTATGTGACAGTGTCCTGACCCTTGTCCTTCTTGGAAACTGTAGAAAGGAGAAAAGGACTTTTGCAAGACTAGTTAGAGCATACATGGCTTTCATGTTGTAAACTTTTTCTGGAAAGGTGAAGGGAGGTGAAATAGGCCCAAACCTACTGTATTCTGAAACTCAGCATGGTGGTTATAGTTGAGAAACTAAGCAAAACCTCGTGCCTCGATTTCAGCTTCGGAACTTGATAATGATGTTCCAAAAGCGACCTGCCTCTCCACTGAAAGCAGTGACCCTCAGAAGGCCCCTGTCCTCACTCTTGCCTCAGAGTCAAGGGAACAGACGGCCACCCTTGGAGAGAGGACATTCAACTGTTGCTACCCAGGTAAGAAGAAAACCCGGCGTGCTGAGCCGCTTCTCCGTTTCAAGCACTGATAAGCAGGGCCTCTGTGAATCCTCTTGCTGACTGCTCCTCTTACTCTTGCATGCTGTCAACACACGACCACCCACATCAGCACACACAGCCTTCCCTGGGGCCCTAAGAGTCCTTGTAGCATCCAGAGCTCAGCATGGCACTTACCAGAACATCAGATTCATAGTAGCTTCCATCTTGAGGTTGTACATTTACAGACATGCTTTTTTTCCCCCAAGATGGTGTCTTGCTGTGTTAAGGCTGGAATATAGTACGTAGTATGATTATAACTGCAGTCGCCAACTCACTGAGTGCATGTGATCGTCCCTCTTCGGCTTCCTGAGTAGTTGGGACTACAGGCATGCACCATGTCTGGGTAACTTTTTTTTTTTTATGGAGGTGAGGGTCTGTCGATGTTGTCCAGGCTGGTCTCAAACTCCTGGCCTCAAGTGATCCTCCCACCTTGGTCTCCCAAGCTCTGGGATGACAGGCATGAGCCACCGCACTCAACTGAGGTTCTGTTTGAAGCTTTGTATTTTCAGGCCCGGCATGATGGCTCACACCTATAGTCCTAGCACTTTGGGAGACCGAGGTGGGTGGATCACCTGAGGTCAGGAGTTCGAGACCAGCCTGGCCAAAATGGTGAAACCCTGTCTCCACCAAAAACACAAAAATTAGCCAGATGTGGTGGTATGTACCTGTAATCCTAGCTATTCAGGAGACTGAGGCAGGAGAATCACTTGAACCCAGGAGGCAGAGGTGGCAGTGAGCCAAGATTATGCCACTGCCTCTCTCAAAAAATATATATATTTTTTTCTTTTCTAGGTTGCCACTTCAAAACTGTCCATGGCATGAAAGACTTGGACCGCCATCTTAGAATCCACACGGGTAGGTATCCATTCTATTCAACAGCACAGTGAGAAGATAGGAAGTGAATGTGAATTAAGTGCTGGGGACACAGTAATGAACGAGTGATCTCTGCCTCATCTGCCTCATGAAACAGTCTAGTGGGGTGGGCTTGGGAGAAGGAGTAAAAGGGGCGTGAAATGAAGATAAAGAGTTTGCCAGAGCCACACAGACCAATGGCTATAGTCATCTTAGAAGAGTCATAAGGTGGCTTCTTAAAGGTACTTTTTTTTTTTAGGGCAGCCAGCTGCTGAGAAGAAAAATAAGATGTGCTGAAGCAAAGGAGTGCCGTGATCTATACCAGGAGTCTACAGACTCCCAGGGCAGCTCCAGCCTGTTGGCATGCTCCTTGTTTTATCTGTTGTTTGCAGCTTTCTGGCCCTATAAGCACAGAGTAGTTACTACAGGGACTGTGGGGCACACAAAGCCTAAAGTACTATCTTTTTTTTTTTTTTTTTTTTGAGACAGAGTCTCCTGCTCTGTCAGCCAGGCTGGAGTGCAATGGTGCAATCTCAGCTCACTGCAATTTCCACCTCCCTGGTTCAAGTGATTCTCCTGCCTCAGCCTCCTGAGTAGCTGGGATTACAAGTGCCCGCCACCATGCCCAGCTAATTTTTGTATTTTTAGTAGAAACAGGATTTCACCATGTTGGCTGGGCTTGTCTTGAACTCCTGACCTCAGGCAATCCACCCGCCTCAGCCTCCTAAAGTGCCGGGATTACAGGCGTGAGCCACCATGCCCATCCTGCCTAAAATGCTGTCTTACCCTTTATAAAACACTTTGGCGACCCTTAGTTTGTAATACAAATCCTATACTTGTGTGTTTGAGCAAGGATATTGGTTTGTTCTTTCAGAAACCACTCTCAGTGGCTTAAACGTAGTCTGGTTTATTTCTCAAGTACAACTTCAGCAGCACATAGTCGACAGCTGGTCCAGTGGCTCTGCCATCCTGGATATGTGGCTTAGCCTCTGGGTCCCGGGCACCCACTCTAATTCTCAGCGTCTCTTAACCAGTGGGCAATGGAAGCAGGCCACGGCATGCCTCCCTGGGGCTGTGACCCAGAAGCAGTAGCCCTTGTGACCTAGGGGAACATGAGCAAGACTTAGTCATGTCCATACCAAGCGTCAAGGGGACATGAGGAATGGTTTTAAGAGGGCAACACATGCCCAGATGAGCCTCTGGAGCCCGTTCACTGAGACAACAGAGCTTTCTGGACAAAGACAGCTGTCTCTGTCCAGAAAGATGGGCATTGTGCTATCACAGAAGAAATGACCACTTTTACCTGGGGACAGTGGATCATGGCAAGCGTGTTAGCAAGGAGAAGCTTGATCCTTCACCTTGGAAGACAGGCTACCAGGATGATGATGGCAGTAAAAGCATGCAGATTTGTGGGGCCCTTTGAGGAAAGATGAGACAGCTCAGATTAAGAAATTTCAGGGTGGGTAACTCAATCCTGAAAATAACTTGAGCGATTGTTCTCAACTGGGGCTAGGCTACTGCCGTTCGGCAGGCGGAGGTCAAGAATCTTAACATTCACAAGCTAGCCTTCACAAGAACTAAAGGCCCACAACATCCGCAGTGCTGGGGTCGACCCAAGAGAGGCACAGGAGCTGGGTTAATGTTTCCTTGAGGTAGTGCAGGGCACGCTGGGGATCCAGGACATAGAAGGTAAGGTGTTGTTCTGGAGTCGGGGAAGCAGATGCACCTTCCTAGTGTAAGGAAATGGAGGCTGCTTCACTGGGTTCAAGGTGACGGCTTTAGTTCTCTGAATTGAACTAATGGAAAGTAGGAGAAGAGGTATGGGGGCCGCCTGGTATTCCTCCCTTGGGGCATGACCCAGAAGTAGCATCCCCTGTGACTAGTGGGACTCAAATAATGGTAGTTTAAAGCCAAAGTCTTTCAGCCCAATGATGTTCCAGATGTTAAGTGATCAGGCAGGGGTGGCACCAGCCCCGTGGTTTCAGGGACCCAGACTCCTGCATTGCTTGGTCATCCCAAGGGTTCAGCTCTTGTTAGCCTGCTCCACAGTGGCCTCCTGCCACCCTAAAGGCACATCACGTAGGCTTACCTATTTGGCCAGAACTTAATCACATGGCCACCCCCAGCTGTGGATATGAAGGCTGGGAAAAGGCAGTTTGCCCCTGTGTAGCCGGGTACCCAGCTGCAAAGAAGGTTCTGTTACCAAGAGAAGAGGGGAAAAGGTCAGCATGTCTCTGACCCAGCTCTAAGTGGGAGGCAGGGATTCTAACATGTAGTTCTTTTGGATCGCCTAAGTTAATTAACATATGCAAATGAGTTTTCTCTTTCTGACATTATACCTGACCTTGTGTGCCTTGGCGCTGGTGCTTCAGTTCACATTGAAAAGTAGCAGTCAAAACAAATCGTCTGTCTTACTCCTTCTGGGCATGCTTTGATGTTGCCGTCACTGTAGGGTTAGAATCCCTGGGACTTTGGACAAGATCACTCATGGCATTCAAGTTTATTCTTAGCCTTCTGAGGTTGGTTTTCTGAGGTGTGTGTTTAGTTGGGAATAGTGGTTGTGTTTCAAATGGATTGCATTTTCCTTTTTTTTTTTTTTTTTTTGAGTCAAGGTTTTGCTCTGTCACCCAGGCTGGAAGGTGATCAGGCTCAAGTGATCCTCATGCCTCGGCCTCTTAAGTTGGTGGGGCTGCAGGCATGCCCATGACACCCAGCTAATTTTATTTAATTTTGTAGAGATGAAGTCTCACTATGTTGTCGAGGCTGGTCTCAAACTCCTGCCTCAAGGGATCCTCCTGCCTTGGCCTCCCAAAGTGTGGGGATTACAGGCATGAGCCACCCTTCCCCCCACCGATATCACTAGCTTAGATGGTCCTGTGGCATTTATTTAGCTTCATAGAAGAGATTGATTTATGTCTGTGTTTTTATCCCACTCTGTATTTCTTCATTTGGCATTGGTGTCAGGTCGCTGTTATAATGTGAGCTGACGCAATCTTTCTCTATGCCAGGGGTCCCCAGACTACGGCCGTCAGGCCGCATGTGGCCCCCCCTTTCATTGGTGGTCAGTGAGAGGAGCCCAGGATGCGGATGCGAAGCACGGCGTCGCTCACATACAGCACTACCGGTGACGCGGGACGCACGCGGTCTGCCACTGCGCTGCCCCACATCACCGGAAGCAGTGTGAAATAACAGCAGAAGTAGGAAGAAAGGCAAAACACTATAACCATTACTACACAGGACAGTGGCCCCCATACTCCCCCAAATGTATAACAACATAATGGCCCCTATAACCTCCCTTTGCCCAAAAGTCTCCCCCTGCATTACTACACGCCCTGTTTCCCCTATTATATAAGACCTTGTCTTATATTAATTTTACCCCCAAAAGATGGGGGCTGTCTTATTTTTAGAAGGTGTCTTATAATAGGGGAAACATGCAGCAGTGGGCTTCCCACAGAAGAGGCCCACCGCTGCTGCAGATGTCCAGGACGCTGTATACACAGTGTCACAGGCTGATCACCGCCATCCCTGTATACAGCACTGGAGGCGGTGCTGGGCCTGTGACACTGTACACCGCTGTCTGGGATAGTGGAGGCAGCAGCGCTGGCTGTGAAGGATGTCACACCTTGCATAGTCCGGCCCGCCAACGGTCTGAGGGACAGTGAACTGGCCCCCTGTGTAAAAAGTTTGGGGACCCCTGCTCTATGCTGTGAAGCAGCTGACTATGGAAATGTCTTTCCTTGAAAGTTTGGTAGAACTTCCACACAATCCCCTCTCCGCTCCAATCCGTAGAAGCACAGGAGGAGGCGTAGATTAGGCTGAGATAGCAAAGTCAACATCAGTGACAACCAAAGACTACTCCGTATACGCCACTGTCCCCCACGGTCAGCCCCAGCCGCGTTCCTTACGGTCTTCTCTCCAGGACCCAGTTGGCAGTTCTGCCTCCGACCAGAACAGCCAGGCAAAGGCATTCTTGACCTTCCTTCTGCTATGCACTCATGGCAATTTGGATGGACTCTTCTCAAAAAGATGTCTTTATATCTAATAAGATGTATCACATTTTTAAAAACCATATTATGATTTGGTCATCGATGTTACATATGCAGTTTTCATACTTTAAACCCTTACTACCCAAACTGTGGTACAAAGACCAGAAATGTCCACATCAGCTGGCAGCTTGGTGCACCCCTGCACCGCAGACCTCTTGAATCAGAATCTGCATCTTGATGAGACCCTCCCAAGCCCGGGTGATTAGTATGCACAGGATTCCCAGAGAAGCCCTGAATTTAATGTCAGGAGTTAGTGGCTAGCATGTTAACTACCCTAATTGCAAAAGTGATGAGCATAAGTCATCATTTGGAGAACTACAGCGAATGTAATGTGGTACGACCACATTTCATGTCCATTGACAAGGGTCTCCCGTGCTGTTATCAGTGTGATTTGTTGCCTACATTTGTAATTGGAGGCAATGCTAAACTGCGGTTAGAGGTAGGGAAGATAAAAATGTAATCATTTCCCATGTAAGGTCCTAGACCCCTGAAATTTTATACGCCCCAGATAAAAATCTCTTGATGGCCAGGTGCAGTGGCTAACGCCTGTAATCCCAACACTTTGGGAGGCTGAGAGAGGTGGATTACCTGAAGTCAGGAGTTCAAGACCAGCCTGGCCAACATGGTGAAACCCCATCTCTACTAAAAATACAAATATTAGCCAGTCGTGGTGGCGGGCACCAGTAATCCCAGCTACTGAGGAGGCTGAGGCAGGAGAATCACTTGAACCTGGGAGGTAGCGGTTGCAGTGAGCTGAGATCACGCCACTGCACTCCAGCCTGGGTGACAGTGAGATTCTGTCTAAAAAAAAATAAAAATAAAAAAAACTCCTGACTTGGAACACTGCAGGGCTTCTTGGGCAAGAGAAACCAGTGTGAGGAACCACCCAGTGGCCCTTGACAACAATTCTTGTCACTTTCTGTCATATTTCACTAGCCAAAGTAAGTCATGCCCAAAACAGAGGCTATTGGGACAGGGAAGCATAATTCTCCCCTGAAGTTAGAGCAAATACTTGAGAACAATAAACAATTTACCTTAGGGAGTAGATCTTTAACATCATTTTTCATTGTTACCAGTCTGTTTCTTTTTTTGGAGCGATAGAGTCTTGCTCTCACCCAGGCTGGAGTACAGTGGCGCAGTCTTGGCCCACTGCAACTTCTATCTCCCAAGTTCAAGTGATTCTCCTGCCTCAGCCTCCTGAGTAGCTGGGATTACAGCTTTGCACCACCATGCCTGACTGATTTTTGTATTTTTAGTGGAGACACTGTTTCACCATGTCAGCCAGGCTGGTCTCAAACTCCTGACCTCAAGTGATCCTCCTGCCTCAGCCTCCCAAAGTGCTGGGATTACAGGCATGAGCCACTGTGCCCAGCCTGTTTTCAATCTTTTAATCCAGACTTTGCAGTGTTACCTCTTCCTGGACCATCACCCATCTTACTGAGTCTGCTAAATTTATTGGGGTGAAGTTCAGTTTAATAGTCACCATTGATAGTGTCTATCTTTAGTCCCCTTCTGCTTTTCCGAAGTCTATTGGAATGACTAAAATTTTGCCTCCCAAGGGGACGATATCTGGAAACATCTTTGGTTGTCACAACTAGGGAAGGAAGGGTCCTACTGGCATCTGGTGGGTAGAGGCCAGGGATCCTGCTGAACAGCCTACAGTGCAGAAGGAAGCACCGAACAGTAGAGAATTGCCAATAGTGTTGAGATGAAGAACCCTGGTCTCTTGGTAGCCTCTTTGCGACCTAAGCCTTCCTTTGTAAGCTCCCTTTTTCCTTGTGTTGATCAAGTGCTGTACGCAGTCTCAATTTTTTCTCTTGTTTCTTGAATTGCATACTGTTCACTTGATTTCAGCATTTTGTTAAAAATGAATTTCAGTCTACCAACTTCTTTAAAGCCATTATAGGCTATAGGTTTTGAAATACAAAACTCTTATCTAGTTCTGGAGTTTGTAATCTAATTTTGACAAAAACTGTCCTAAAAGACATTCTAAAACTTCCAAGCTGACATTTTTGAAAAACCGTTTGTGAAGCCATGTTACATGCATAAAATTCTGACTTTTATCTGCATACTGAATTCTCTCATCCATATGAAATGTTTAATGAATTTCACCATGATTTCTATTTTGTCTAATGTTAAAATTGATATTCGTACTTTTTTAAAAGCATTTTTCTAGAATTTCTATTCTGTTCTTATCACTTTGATTTAGGTATCTAAAGAGAATTTAGAGACCTTTTTTTTTCTTAATTTAACTTAAATATATTTTTTAACTTTATTAAAGTAGCGACAGGGTCTCCCTGTGTTGCCCAGACTGGTCTCAAACTTCAACCTTTTGGCCTCAAGCAATCCTCCTGCCTCGGACTCCCAGAATGCTGGGATTACAGGCATGAGCCACAGCACCTGACCTATAATTTAAATCTTTATGAGGGAGATGTGTTACGTTTTTGTTTATAATATTTAGTTAGGCATCTAGTTATCTTATATTTGATGTGATTTTTATTTTGTGCTATCCATGTTTGGTTTTTTTCTTTGAGACTAGTTCTTGTTCTGCCGCATAGGCTAGAGTGCAGTGTTGTAATCAGAGCTCACCTCCTGGGCTCAAGTGATCCTCCTACCTGAGCCTCCCAAATAGCTGGGACTACAATGATATACCACCACACCCAGCTAATCCTTTTTTTTTTTAATTTATTTATTTATTTTTTTTTTTTTGGTGGAGTTAATAGTCTTGGTATGTTGCCCAGGCTGGTTTCAAACTTCTGGACTTCAGTGATCCTCTCAAAGTGTTGGGATTACAGGCGTGAGCCATTGTGCCCAAGTGCTTTAATGGTGGTTTTTTTCTCATCTGAAAGCTCTACTTTGTCCATTGTACTATTTTCTTATATTCCTATGTTACCTTTACCATCACCCTTACTTTTTATTCTGGTGTATGCTTTTTAAGTGTGATGCCAAGTCATGTCAACTATCTCCTCTTCTCACTGAATGCTAATTCAAGTATAAGAGTCTATTAATTACATGAAAGTTGCCAGGAAAATTTTAAAATTTAAAATAAAGATTCTATTAAAACAGTTGCTATAGAACGTTGAAGATCCTGTTTCTGTCTTGCTAGCATCTGCCATTCTGAGGAGGTTTATGCTGATGTGAGCATTTTTCTGCTGATTTTGTTTCTGGAAGCTTCCAGATCTCACCATTTGTAGGCTTCTGAAATTGGACCACCCTGCTTCTAAATAAGAGGCATGTCTGTCTTTAGTGTCGGGAAATAACTCTTCTCTGTGTTATCCTGGACCGTCTAGAATGAGCTTTCATGCCTTACCTGTTGGCATCTTTTCCCTCTTGTCCTTTTGGGAGATTCTTTAGCTGTATCTTTCACTTCTAAGACTTTTTAGTAGATGGTTTTTTGGTTTGGTTTGGTTTTTTTTATGAGAGCAGTTTTCAGTTCACAGCAAAAGTGAACCTAAAGACCAGAAGATACAGATATTTCCAGCCAGATGTGGTGTGGCTCATGCCTGTAATCCCAGCACTTTGGGAGGCTGTGGCGGGCAGATCACGAGGTCAGGAGATCGAGACTATCTGGCTAACACAGTGAAACCCCATCTCTACTAAAAATACAAAAAATTAGCTGGGCATGGTGGTGGATGCCTGTAGTCCCAGCCACTCAGGAGGCTGAGGCAGAAGAATTGCTTAAACCAGGGAGGCGGAGGTTGTAGTGAGCCAAGATTGCACCACTGCACTCCAGCCTAGGCAACAGAGTGAGATTCTGTCTTAAAAACAAAAATGATACAGATATTTCCCATATGCCCCCTGCTCCTACACATGTACAGCCTTCCGCATTACCAACATCCTTCCCCAGAGTCGTGCATTTTTACGATAGATGAACCTGCACCGACACGACATTCTCAACCAAAGACTATAGTTTATAGGAAGGTCCATTGTTGTTTTTGAGACAGGGTCTAGCTTTGTCACCCAGTCCGGAATACAGTGGCACTATCTCGACTGACAACCTGAACCTCCTGGGCTCAGGTGATCTTCCCACCTCAGCCTCCCAGGTAGCTGGAACTACAGGCGTGCACCACCACATCCAGCTAATATTTTGTATTTTTTTGTGTAAAGACAGTTTTGCCATATTGCCCAGGCTGGTCTCGGACTCCTGGGCATGAGTGGTTCACCCACCTCAGCCTCCCAAAGCACTGGGATTACAGGTGTGAGCCACCACACCTACCAAGGTTCACTCTTGGTGTTGTATGTTCTGTGGGTTTGGACAAATGTATGATGACATGTCCACCAATAGCTGTCATTTGACACCCTTTTTTGCTGGTCACCTTATTAGCAGTTTTATTTTGATGTCCATAGTTTTCATTTCTGTAATTTCACGCCCTTCCTTGGCTTTAGTAACTAAGTTATTCTTGAGTTGGGCATCTCCTTCTGGTTCTGGCTTTCCCCGAGCATTTGGTTATTGGGTAAACTAACTTTTATTTAGATAAGATCAGCCTGAAATTGTTGGGCTAGTGGGTAATAGTGAAACCTGGCTGGATGGAAATATTCTGGGTATGTGGTCCTCTGCTGTCCATGGCATCTCCAACTACCAGGCCCTTGTATTCTTTTTCTGACCTTAGCACCCTTTGACCAACAGCTTAGGGAGAGATGCTGTGCTGCTTGCTGGTTGGAAGAAGTGAGAGGGAAGGGGTCAACCTGACCTTTCGCCATGTGGTTCATGAAGCTGCCCGAGATCCCTAGAGCTGGCACTTCTTACCCTGAGCACTTCTATAACCACTGCCATTTTTCCCAAATAGGGTTTGGCCTATAATTTTCTCCATCAATCTGATATGTATGTAATCTGTCCCTTAGGATCTCTGAGCCACCAGTGAATGGCATACATTCTTGTTTCCCAGAATGCTGATGTAGACTTCAGTGTCTTTCTGTCCGGTTATTTGGACAGGAGGAGGCACACCATGTGCTCAGGCTACCATCTTGGTCAAATCTCTGCAGTTCCCTTGACCAAAAGACCCTTAACTTTGACTCCTTATGTGTTTGAAGGAGACAAACCACACAAGTGTGAGTTCTGTGACAAGTGCTTCAGCCGGAAGGACAACCTGACCATGCACATGCGGTGCCACACCAGTGTGAAGCCACACAAGTGTCACCTGTGTGACTACGCTGCCGTGGACAGCAGCAGCCTTAAGAAGCACCTGCGGATCCACTCGGACGAGCGGCCGTACAAATGCCAGCTCTGCCCCTATGCCAGCCGCAACTCCAGCCAGCTCACCGTCCACCTGCGATCCCACACGGGTGAGTCCCTGGCCCGAAAACCTCGGTCTCTTACTTTTTCTTTAATTTCTTAGCCTTCATTCACTTAACAACACAAGAAACTTAAATGATTGGGTGTGGTAGAAGTATAAGAATTTGGAATTTCTGTGATGATCGTGAGGCTTGTCATTTTTCTGTTGCTGGAACAGCTTTTGACAAAATACGACTGACAGCTGGGTTTTATATCGTGACTGTATAGAATCCAGCTGGGGGTAGATACCCACCATAACCACCAGAAAGCCAAGGATGTATCCCAGAGAAGTCAGACCTATAAACTAGATGTTTTAGTAAATGTACACATTGACTGCATGGCTTAATTTGGAAATGTAGCAAGATCAGTTGAGTATAACTAAAAGCACAAACTTGTAATCTTAGGACCTCCTTCCCTCCTTTATGGAACCCCACTGAAATAACAATAGGACTAAGTGATCGTGGCACATAAAAATGGGATTTGAGATGCTCATAATGATGCTCACAAGTTGAAACTTTTCAGTGAATTCCTGGAAAATGGTGAGCAGACAAGAATGTAGTGATGTCTAAAATTGAGTATAGAAAACTGTGTCCCAACAGACAAATGGGAGGCAGCCATACAGTTGGGAGCCAATGTTCCCAGACAATATCCAAGTGCCCCAAGAGCCCTGGGCTTGGAACAAGCATGTAGACAGCCAGGGCCACAAAGCTTGAGGCACTAGCCAAGGCCTATTGGCAAAACTGCCCAACCAACCCAGTAGCAGGTGAAACCCCTGGTATCCATGTCTAATCATTAAACCAGTCTACTCTCCCAAGTATAGTCAACCAAGGATTATGAGTCATTTATAGGAAATGAGTGGAATAAAATGAGCCAAGTCTAATAACTAATCCTGGAAGTAAAGAGTACTGGGGTAATTTTCACATTCTATTTGGCGTCTGCCCACTGACAGAAATGTTGCATCCAAATAGAGACCTATGAAGAGATAATGAGAACAAAGAGGTATGAAATAAAACTAGGATTACTAGCTATAACATTAATTTCTCAGAGATTGTGGGGGAAATTGGGTGAATGAACTGAGAATAATAGCCATTCCTGAAGTCTGGTTTCTGACCAGGTCTAAGAATAAAAGAAAATGGAAATGAGAAGAAAATAGAGTGAAAATTGAAAATCATGTGAGAAATGAAGTCCACAATTCTCAGGGGCCAGGAGAGTAAAAGTGCTCACAAGATTCCAATCAGGATGGAAGGGAGTGGGCAGGGAAGATCTATATCTGAAAATATGTCTTGTAGTATTGGCTCCCAGGAGACAAAGGAACAGTGCCCTCAAAAGTTGGGAAATGATTTTGAACTTAGAATTCTATACCCAGCCAAACTATCTCAAGTATGAGAGCAAAATAGAATGATGTACCAGGACTCAAGACTTTACTCCCAGCCACCATGCTAGTGGAAGTTACTAGAAGATAAATTCTAGCAAAGAAAGGGAGAAAACATCTGGTATGAGATATCTGATATGTGAATATCTGATATGGCTAACTGGGATTGCAGCAAAGAGAAATACCAGGGTGATACTTGTATAGAAGATCAAGAGAAACTAAATCAGAAATTCTAAAAATCCATTTTAAACACTCCTTGTGAAAGTTACAAAATTATGAAAGTGGATGACATCTGAAATTGAGATTCCTTTTTTCAAGAAATAGTCTAATCAAGAAGCAAGCTAAAATATGCCCCAAAATGAGCAGCCTGCATGAAAAGAAAATGATATTGATGGGTAGTTACTCCATCCACTGGCCCAAGTGTGACAGCAGACTTATAAGGAAGTGGTTGTAATCCTGGTGCAGTCTTTGGCTCTGAATATCACATTCCCAGTCACAATTAATTATTTATAGTTGGCTTCTGAACTTGAAATCTGAAAATGATTAAAGTATGAGAATTCACCAGACAGAATGGATTTTTTTTTTTTTTTTTTTTTTTTTTTTACTGAAAGAATGCTACTTCTAACATGAGGAGTTAAGTGTGGAGAAGAGGAGTGATTCCTCAAAAATTCTCACAAGCTGATGGAATAAGATGTGAGGCTACTACTCAGCTTAAAAGTGTAAAAGTCACAACCACCAGAAGGCAGGAAGAGGTTGGAGTAAGGATGGGTGTGTAGGAGCAGGAAGAGTTTGGGGAAAGGATGAGGGTATGTAGGATATGATGCTTATCTTTGCTTGCAGTCAACTGACGTTTAAAGCAGCAACCTCCAAAACGACTAAAAACCCTTAGCAATGTCTCCAGGAAATGGGACTCTAAATTAGAGAAGAGACCATGGCTCTTCATTATTCCCTGCTGCCGTAACTATGCATTAATATTATAAGTAAAATTCAGCCTGTAGTTATAAAAGTAAGAAACTTTATACAAGCTGAATAACTGATGTCATATAGATTAAACACTATATTCAGCATGTTCACAGGTCTTAGCTTGATTTGAAGCAGTTTGTAATTTAAATCTCATCTCTTCCACATTCAGTTCTGGGATGTCAAGTTAAATGGGAGTTTAGATTTGCAGCTGAAGAGTCTTCAAGAGTATGGACTTGAGTGCCATAGTTCCTGGGTTCCAAATCCCTGCTGTTTGACCTGAGTCAAGTAACTTGACCTCTCTGAGCCTCAGTTGCCTCATCTGTAAAATGGGGGTAATAGTACCCACTCAGGATTGCTGTGAGGATTGCATTAATATGCACAATAAGAGTTGTCATTAGGAGGTTGTGGGTACTTGAGTTCACAAAACCCAACCATCTCATTGCAGCCAAGTGTGCTGAGGCAGGTTGGGGTGGGAGGGTCTGTTTTGCCTGCCTGTTCTAATGGAAACACACCTTCCATTGCTAGGGGATACCCCCTTCCAGTGCTGGCTCTGTAGCGCCAAGTTCAAAATCAGCTCGGACTTGAAAAGGCACATGATCGTGCACTCGGGGGAGAAGCCTTTCAAGTGCGAGTTCTGTGACGTCCGCTGCACCATGAAGGCGAACCTCAAATCGCACATCCGCATCAAGCACACCTTCAAGTGTCTGCACTGTGCCTTCCAGGGCCGGGACCGGGCTGACCTCCTGGAGCACAGCCGGCTGCACCAGGCCGACCACCCAGAGAAGTGTCCCGAGTGCAGCTACTCCTGCTCCAGCGCGGCCGCCCTGCGCGTGCACAGCAGAGTCCACTGTAAGGACCGCCCCTTCAAGTGTGACTTCTGCAGCTTCGACACGAAGCGGCCCAGCAGCCTGGCCAAGCACATCGACAAGGTGCACAGGGACGAGGCCAAGACGGAGAACTGGGCCCCTCTGGGCAAGGAAGTGCCCAGAGAGAGCAGCTCCCAGCACATGGCCAAGATCCTGACGCAGAGGGCCTTTCGCTGTGAGACCTGTGGCGCCTCCTTCGTCAGGGATGACTCTCTGAGATGCCACAAGAAGCAGCATAGTGATCAGAGTGAGAACAAGAACTCAGACTTGGTCACCTTCCCACCCGAAAGCGGTGCCTCGGGGCAGCTCAGCACCCTGGTCTCTGTGGGGCAGCTCGAGGACCCCCTAGCGCCCAGCCAAGACCTCTAGCTCAGCCGAAGAGGATCATCAGCTGTCAGGACTTCTGACCGGTGCTGTTGCCCAGCGCTCTAAAGGCGAGGCCAGTGACGCAGGCTCTGGGCACCACTTCCAGGGCTGGCTGCTCCCACATCACCGGCCTCCAGAGGCGACGGCTGGGCCAGCAGGGATGAAAGCGAAGCAGTGCTTTGGAGACACTTGTCGCCTTTATCTCTTCCTCCAAGGATTATTGAGCAAGTCGACTTGGTCATTCAAACGTGGGGTCTGCTGAGCCCTGCTGTATCCAATGGGGATAGCTTCTACATCATGGATTCCAAAACTGATCCATCTCCGGTAGAATTATTAAACTAGTTAGATGATATAGAAAAACTGAAGCTCATCTCTAGAGTAGGAAGGGTTAAGGTGAGGAAGTTATATATGAAGGGTCCGGGGTTGCTGGAAAACCTATTTCATAACCTGGGTGATCGTTCTAAGAGTGTTTGCCTTACATGTTTGTGTGGTTTCTTTTACCTGTTGTCTTACAATAAAAAGGCAGACTCGTGCTAGCATGACGTAAGGAACACTCAGTTTTGCAGTCCTCCGTGGACAGTTACGGTGCCAGGGCCTCCATCCCCAACCCCCACCCCATTCAGTAACTTGATTATAAACCCACGCTGGATTTCTCTGCGAGTTCCTACTGTAGTAAAATGAAATGCAGTTTGACCTGGAGGTGGCGCCAAATAGCAAGCTAACTAGCCCAGCCTGTGCTTATTATCTGTTGTGGAATTCAAAACTCTGTTTACTTGTATTTGGAGAGAAAAGTCTGGAGCCCCAGTGGGCCCTGGACTTGGGGATGGGATATGGGATGTGTAGGGCAGCCTCACACCAGCATCTGTTTCATCACAGAAAGCGTGTAGTGTTTGCTGACCTGACCAACTGAAAATCTAGCCTCTTATAGATGGCCCTGTAGGAGGTTATGAAATCTCAGTGGATACGTAACTTTCCCAAAGTTGCTTGGTTTCTACTTCTGGCATCTTTCCTTCAAATGCTGTGTTTTTTAATATGAATTCTTATGTGCCCTCATCAAGCTGAGTATCTCTGGAAGTGAAATAGATTAAGTAGATCCACTGTTCTTGGTAAACTAGGAAAAAAGAATGTAAATTTTTACAGGTTGTGCAGAAGAGACGATTTCCCTTGTGAAATAGAGGAACCTAGTTTATTTTGTTAATGGTGGTGGTTTGGGCAAATCTGACTCCGTTAAGTTTTACATCAGGTGGGTGATGGTGTACTGCTGAATCTCTATTGGAAGAAGAAAAGATTAAAATGATGGCAGAGACCCAGGATAGAATTAGTCTCTTTGGAGATAATGGTTTTGATCCAAAAAGTGTTTGGTTACTGAGTGCTGGTGCTATTGTTACTTTTCTGCTGTTGGTCATGAGTCTGAGCTGCGTTGCTGTTCTAGAAGGTTGTTGACCTTTCAAGGGGGAACCCATAGATTGAAATCACAGAAACGTTCCTTGTACTTCTTGTTATAGCTTTTCAGATAAAAAGGAAAGACATCAGCCTGTTTAGAAGGCTTTTGTTGTTGTTGTTAACAGCTGTGTGGGCTTTAAGGGTTTTAGATCCAAGCTGGTATCACCTACCAAACTCGGACTGCCAATAGAACAGAGGTGAGAAAAAAGGGTGAACCCGATATGAAATACTTCAGGCAATGTCACAGGGGCGTAACGTCTTTTTGCAACGACTCAGCTCTGTGGTTTCGGCACAAAAGCAACCATAGATTGCAAGAAAAAACAATTGTCTGTGTTCCAATAAAACTTTACAAAAACAGGTGGCAGGCTAGATTTGGCCCCACGGTCTTGGAATACAGCAAACCCTCCTGCAGAGGATTTTGCTCTGAACTGGCAAGTGTGACTTGTAAAACACATTAAAAGATACCAAATTTTTTGGCAGAGACACAAATGGGCTTTGCACAAAGCTAAGAATGTAGTTGAAGAAAATAAGGCTGAATTAGTATTATAAAAAATTTGGAAATGTAAAGCAATTTTTGAGAGACTGGTAAGAATTCCAAGATTCAGAAAAGTGGGCTAAGAGGGAAGTCTAGGACCAGCAAACTTCTAGGGTAGGGGTAGTCTTACCTTTCCGTTTCTAGGAAATTAGAAGGTGGCAGTGGGTGGGGTTAAATCATTCAGAAGTGGGGGCTGACCTGTCTAAACCCGCTAGAATGAGACTGAAAATGTACAGGTAATCACCGAATAAAAGTGAGGAACAGCCTTAATAAAAAGGGATCGCTGGCAGAACACAGTGGCTCACGCCTGTAATCCCAGCACTATGGGAGGCTGAAGCGGGTAGATCACGAGGTCAGAAGATTGAGACCATCCTGGCCAACATGGTGAAACCCTGTCTCTACTAAAAATACAAAAATGAGCTGGGCGTGGTGGCGCATGCCTGCAATCCCAGCTACTCATGAGGCTGAGGTAGTAGAATCGCTTGAACCAGGGAGCCAGAGATTGCAATGAACCGAGATCGCGCCACAGCACTCCAGCTTGGCAACAGAGCAAGACTCTCAAAAAGACAGCTGATGTGGCACAGAGCACAATGGCAATTCTTACACCAGTCTTGATTTGCAGAGCCCTCTGGATCCAGAAGGAAACTTAGTATGTTTACAGTTTGCTTTCACCTGAGCCCCAGGGGTCCACAAACTTTTTCATTAAAGGGCCAGAGAGTAAATGTTTTGAGCTTTGCTGGTCCCACTGGTCATCAGCTCCGTTGCCGCTGCTGTTGCAGCACAGCGGCTCCGACTTGTCCACTGTAATACAGCTGCAGAGAATAGGGAAGGAAATAGGTTTAGCTGTGGGCCAGTAAAACTTTACTTGTAAAAGGACATGATTTGGAAGGCCAGTTTGCCAACGTTACCCTGCGTACAAGCAACAAACAGGGTGATTGGTCTTGGATAAAAGATAAGGGAGAAATGTTGAAACAAACTTGTGGCAGCATCAGTAATGAGTGTCTGTGGTCCCAGCTACTTGGGAGACTGAGCCGGGAAGAACTCTTTGAGCCCAGGAGTTCAAGTCCAGCCTAGGTAACAGTGTGACTCCGTCTTTTAAAAAATTCTTTGGGGCCACTTTAAGGAAGGTGTGGCTTCATGCCACAGGTGAGTTTCCAGTTAGGTATTGGGGAAGACTGGATCCTTTTGAACTTTACTCAGATCGGTTTGTAAAACCCTCACTGAAGAGTCCAGAAATCAAAGCAATCTCCTGCCCCCCTGCTTAAGGCTTCTTGCTGCCTTCTAGACACTACAGAACGTGAATATCTTACATGTCCCTGTATTTAACCTCTTCCAAGAAAGCAGATGAGCCTGAATTCAAGTTGCCATCATGACTCAGCCAGGCACTGCACTAAGACTTTACCTGGCTGCCGGTTTCTTTCTCCCAGGTGCTGCCCAGAGCTGAGGTAGGGTGAGGCACTCGCCTGGGATAGGAGACTTAAGGGAGTGCTGGGAACTCAGTCGCCAAAAAATATTTTACTGCACATTGGCAAACGGCGACCTCACGGGTCATCTGCTTTGTTTTCGTAGTTTTGTGGAAAGTTGGCCTGGGGTTAGGGCAAGTCAGGGCTGTGTAAGCAGGATTGGAGCCCATATTTACAGTTCTGACATTCTGTTCATTGTAGGTTTCTTTTGCATTCATTGGTTTTTAAAAAGTTATGGTATTTACCTTGATCCGTTGAGATTTGGGATATCACCTTCAGTGTGTGCCTGAGGCCATGGCCTCTCCCACCACACCTCACCCCGCCCCTTGTTCAAATGCGGAAACTGAAGGATAAGGGGAAGAAACTTCCTAAAACAGAACAATGTGACCCAGTAATAAATCTTGAGTGGGACGGTAACATCCTAAAAAAGCTGTCTCTTTTTTTTTTTTTTTTTTTTTTTTTTTTTGAGATGGAGTTTCACTCATTACCCAGGCTGGAGTGCAATGGCACACTCTTGGCTCACTGAAACCTCTGCCTCCTGGGTTCAAGCGATTCTCCTGCCTCAGCCTACCAAGTAGCTAGAATTATATGCACTCGCCACCACGCCCAGCTAATTTTTTGTATTTTTAGTAGATTCAGGATTTGACTATGTTGGCCAGGCTGGTCTCGAACTCCTGACCTCGTGATCTGCCCGCCTCAGCCTCCCAAACTACTGGGATTACAGGCATGAGCCACTGCACCCAGCCAGAAGCTGCCTCTTTTAAATATTTAACTGACAAATAAAGCCAGCATATATTCAATGTCTATAATTACTAGATGAACAGAGCCACCGCCACCGCTCATGCTGTGCCTTACAACCCAAAATGTGTTCATGTCATAACAAAGATTGCGCCCTTTGATCAGCATCTCCCCATTTCTTCAGCTCCTGGCAACCATCCTTCTACTCTGAGAAGCCACCTGTTAGTTATAAGCTAACACAGTTGAAGATGGGAAACCCCTGCCTTGTTCAGCTAGAGGGATGTCATCTGAGTCTGTCTGCTCTTCTGTAAAATGGGCCGTGCTGGGCATTTGGCCTAATGCTACAATCTACTGACTTAACAGAAGTTGGCTTCTCTCTGTCTCTCCCACCCCCTGACTCCCGCTTGCTTTGTCCCTTTTGTAGAAGGAAGAGGGATAACCAAGACCTGGGTACTGTGGCCTTACCATCAGCAGGGATCATTTCTATCTTCCCATTCCCCACCCCCCATCTTCAACACATAGTCCTAGGTGACACCGTAAGCTCCAACCCAGGAGAGAACGTCATGTCCTTACACTGCTGGAAAGTCGCACATAAGCTGCTGCTCACCTCCCCACCTAGTCACACACCATAGGTCTGCAAAGGACGCTGGGAAGCAGGTTCCTCTGGAGTGGGCTGTGCCAGTTAAAACCTGGAAGGGGAGATGCTGGACCCGTGAGCCTCCTCTGCTCTCTGCACAGGAAGCCAGGCTCAGGGAGGTCGGAGGTATTAATCGCTTTTTCCGTGAGGCACGTGATATGGGTCCTAAAGACGCTGAGGTGTTCCATTGGCAAGCTTGTATCTTATCAGGGCTTCTTGGGGACGGTTTTGCCTGCTCCTTGTGGTTGATGGACCATGACAGGCTTCCAAGGCATTCTAAGGCTCTACTGCAGTGCCTGCTGCAGTCCCCGGGAGCCTCTCTGGTATTTGAAATCTGTCTCTGCGGGGAGGTACAAGGGCACCTCTACTCTTTTTTTTTTTTTTTTTTTTTGAGGCGAAGTTTCACTCTTGTCGCCCAAGCTGGAATGCAAGGGCAGGATCTCAGCTTACCACAACCTCTGCCTCCCGGGTTCAAGCGATTTTCCTGCCTCAGCCTCCCAAGTAGCTGGGATTACAGGCATGTACCATCATGCCTGGCTAATTTTGTATTTTTAGTAGAGACAGGGTTTCTCCACGTTGGCCAGGCTGGTCTCAAACTCCCAAACTCAGGAACTCCTGACCTCAAGTGATCCACCTGCTTCAGCTTCCCAAAGTGCTGGAATTACAAGTGTGAGCTGCCATGCCGGGCCTTCCACTGGCTTCCTTAATCTTTTTTTT